CCTCATGGAGTTGCTGCTCGTGCTGGCTAACTGGGATAATCCATCGGCCTCAACGTTCTCAAATCTTGGAATTTGCTTGATGAAGTACGATTGGAAGCTGCGTAGAACTTCCCTGGGCTTGGCTAGATAGGCGGCCATGGTGGAGTCGCGAGCCTCGTAGTCGCCGGTTACCTGGTTGACCACGAGCAGGGAGTCGCTGTGAATGACGAGGTTTTTCGCTTGTACTTCGTTTGCTATCATGAGTCCAGCTATCAGTGCTCCATATTCTGCCTCATTGTTGGATGCTGCGAACTTGAACCGAATGCGTATTCCAATTTCGCTCCGCTTGGCCCGTACAGGATGACTCCGGCTCCGCATCCTTGTTGGTTCGACGAACCGTCTATGTGAAGGATCCAGGGTCCCTCATCCCTGGTTTACTTCGTTCTAATCAGGATTGGTTCCGCACTGGTTGAGGCTTCCTTCGCATGCTTGATCTCTATTAATTCGGAGGTTGTAGTGCTGAAAGTGCATTCTGCGATTGCTGTTCGGGGCTCGTACCGGATGTCATACTCGTTGAACTCTATAGCCCACTTAGTCAGTCTTCCAGATACCTCGAACTTGAGTAGGACTTGCCTCAGGGGTTGGTTGGTAAGAACGATGACTGTGCGGGCTTGAAAGTATGGTCGGAGTTTCCGAGTTGCTATGATTAGTGCATACGCCAACTTCTCGATCTCTGGGTATCTAGTTTTGGCACCCAGCAAAACTTTTCTCACATAGTAGATAGGTTGTTGGACTCGATCTACTTCCTTTATTAGTACCGAGCTTACCACCTCATATTTCACGGAGAGGTACAACTTCAAAACATCGCCCTCCTCGGGTCAGGTCAAAACCGGGATGCTAGTTAGGTATTTCTTCAGTTCGTTGAAGGCGAACTGACATTTTTCTATCCATTCGAAGTCTTTGCTTTTCTTAATTGCCTTGAAAAAAGTTAGGCAGTGATCTGCTGACTTGGACATGAAGCGGCTTAGGACAACCATACGGCCGTTCAACCTCTGAACCTCTTTTATCTTCCGAGGGGGCTTCATGTCCAAGATAGCCTTTATCTTTYCAGGGTTGGCTTCGATGCCACATCGGCTAACTATGTAACCCAGAAATTTTCCCAAGGTGACACCAAAGACACATTTATTAGGGTTTAGTTTCATATTATACTTTCATAGGATTTCAAACACACATTGTAAGTCATTTGTTAAAACTGTTCGAAAATTGGGTTTTGACGACCATGTCATCTACATAACATTCAACCTTGTCGCCGATCAACGGCTCAAAAATTCGGTTCACAAGTCTTTGGTAGGTTGCCCTGGCATTTTTCTAGTCCAAAGGGCATGACCTTATAACAATACAAGCCCAATTCGGTAATGAATGTCGTTTTCTCTTCATCAGCGGGGTCTATCTTGATTTGGTTGTAGCCCGAGTATGCATCCAGGAAAATCAGCAACTCGTGCCCTGAGGTCGCGTCCACTAGATGGTTGATCTTGGGGAGCGAAAAACAGTCATTTGGGCAAGCCCGTTTCAGGTCGGTATAGTCGACGCACATGCGTCATTTACTGTTGGCCTTCTTTACCAGAACGGGGTTAGCTACCTAGATCGGGTAATGGAACTCCTTGATAAAATCGGCTACGAGAAGTTTCCCGACCTCCTCGTCGACTATCCTCCAGCGCTCCGGGGCGAGGTTGCCTTTCTTTTGTCTAATTGGCCTGACTAGGGGATCAGTGTTTAACTTGTGAGTTATTATCTTTGAGTCTATGTCGGGCATTTCTGCCGTAGACCATGCAAATATGTCTAAATTATTGAGTAGGAAACTTACTAGTTGAGTTCGAAGAGGTTCCCTAACTGCTTCCCCGATCTGGAGTGTCCTGGTCGGATCATCTTCTGAAGTCGGGACGAGGACCGTTCACTCAGTCGGTGTAACTCGCTCTTTAGGATACTCTACGGGTCGTTTGAGTTCGACGCTTTCCGCTAGCTTGGCTTTCCCCTTGAGGGCCGCGACGTAACACTTCTGGGACTCGAGCTGGTCTTCCCGGGCTACCCCTATCCCGAAGTCCGTGGGGAACTTCATTGTCAGGTAGTAGGTTGATACCACCGCACGAAGCGTGTGGGTGATGGGGCATCCTATAATGGTATTGTGCRGAGGAAGGCATTGCAACTACTAGGAAGGCGTGTTCAAACCTCGCGATGCTGGGCCACTTTCTGACCTCTACAGGTAGCGAGATCCGGCTAAGGGGCCTAACTTCTTCTCCACTGAAGCCCACTAGAAGGGTACTTGTGGGCTCGAGGTCGCTCTCGCGAAGCTGCAGCTTGTCGAAGGTTCTCCTGAACAGGATGTCGGCCGAACTTCCTGAATCCACCAAGATGCATCTGACTTCAAAGTCATTGATCTTCATCCTTATGACCAGCGCGTCATCATGAGGATACTGGACTCCTCGCGCATCGTCCTCAGTAAAAGATATGGGGTCCGTGGGCCGTGGGCGTTTTGTTGCGTTCTATCTTTCATGCTCTAGTTCGCGGACCGAGGTCTTCCCTACTGTTGAGGTGCAGCCCGCGATGATGGAACCGCCGGTAATCGTGTTGATCACTCCGCGAACTGGTCTTTCCTCGAGCGGTTGTCCCTACTCATTCTGTCTGTTACTGGACTCGGGAGCATCTCTCCTCTGCTCCCCTTGTCGATCTGTTTTATTTTTATTACTTTTTTGTACACAATTTTTTAAGTATCCGCAACGGATGAGTTCCTCAATCTCGTCGCGGAGACTTTTACAATTTTCGGTACTATGACCTTGATATCTATGGAAATGACAATATACATTCTTATTCCTGGTAGCGGGGTCCCCCTTCATCCGGGGTGGCCACTTTACAAACGGAGCGTCTTTAATCGTCATAAGAATTTCCTATCACCTCGCGTTGAGGAGGGTGTAACTCGTCCTTTTAGCTAGAGGAGTTCGAGGGTGCCAACCTAACTTGCTGTTTCCCCTGGTCGGGGACTTGCTCTTCTTCCTCTTGCCGCTTCCGTGGTGTGTCCTGTCATCGTCTCTCCTCCTCGTCTCTGCTGGAGCTCCAACTTTTTGATTCATTTCCTCTTTAGTCTCGATGAATTGGTCAACAAGCTTGAGGAATGCGGTGATGTCCTTGGGCTTGTTCACCACTACGTGCCACTTGAACTCCCGGTGAGTGACTCCTCTCTTCGCTGCGACGAGTCTCACAGTGGGGTCTAGGTCCGGGATCAGGAGGCAAGTGTCGTTGAAGCGCTTGATGTAGCTCCGGATGGACTCTCCCTCTTTTTGGACTATGCTAAGAAGGCTTTCTTGCGACCTCGAACAGTTTTTGCTAGTAACGAAGTGCGAGGTTTATGCTTGTACGAATTGTGCCTAGCTCTGGATTGCTCCGGATAGGAGGTTTCTATACCACATGTGCGCTACTCCTCTGAAGGTCGTGGAGAAGGCAACACACATGCAGGCTTTACTGGCCCCGGTGAGGTGCATCTGGGACTAGAAGGAGTCCACATGGTCATTTGGGTCAAACAACCCGTTGTACTTGTCTAGAGGGGGTACCTTGAAGTCCTTTGGCATGGGAGTTGCTAGGAGATCGGGGGAGAGGGGAGATGGCAGCGAGAGGAGAGCGGCGGTCTTAGTAACTCCCGAGCCGTCTTACCTTTGGGTTGTTTGGGTCGGCTGGGCTCCGCGAGTTGTTCAGGGATTATCGCACGACACACCTTGGGACATCGCCTTTGTTGCTTCTTGGCGGGATCCATGTTGGTGCTGCTTGCTTCAGTACTATCAGGGCGGGTCCTGGCCTGGTGAGAATCAAGCTGATACTAGCTTCTGCGAACCAAAGGGTCTCGTTCAGAGCTCGCGGCCAAGACTTCGAATTTGTTGCCCGTCAGTGAGGTTTCCGGTTAGGTGCACTGGGGCAAACTGGCCTTGGCGGGGTGAGTGTCTTYTAATCCGCCTCGTTGCCGCGAGGCTGTGGGAGCTACTAGCTCTCTCCTGCTATGGRATGGGGCTTGGGAGGTTTCTCCTCTGTGAGGAGGGCAGCTACTTCGGTGGTGGTTGAGCGGCTGCTGGTTCTGCGGCGTTATTGGGCGCCGCGGTGGAGCTGGCTGTCGGCTTTGCTGTAGCGTTGGGAACTGTTGCTGGTAGAAATGACACAGGACTTGCTACTGGTAGTGCTGAAGCTACTGGACTTGCTGCATCTGGGCCTGAATGGCCTGTACGCACTATACCAGGTCACCCAACTGGTTTTTCCCCACTGCGGGTGGAACCACGAAGGGTTCAGTGAAGGTGGTGTTCACCGCAAGAGGGAGTGGGGTGTTCACCGCTTTAGCAACCTGATAGGTTCAGCGTGGGGACCCCAAAAGTGCTAAGAGGTACAGTAAATTGACCGATATGCACGGTGGGAGCCTGAAGTTGCCCCCCCAGAAGTGTTCATTTCGTTGTTCTGCCCAACATTGCTAGGAGACGCCATTGATGCTGGTGAAAGTTTGGTAGAGAAGGTTTCTCGAAGCGCTTCCCACAAACGAAGCCAATTGATGATATGCAATCCGGCCACTCCTAGCTGGAAGTGATTGAGCTCCTAGCTGGCGACGGGCAAAAGATACCTGCGTGAAGAGAGATGAAGGAACCCGGGGTTGCTCAGCCGACGGGAGCACTCCGATGCTTAAGTTAGTACTTGGTTGCGAGCTGGAAAGGAATGAGTTTGCAAGAAGATAGAAAGTTAGAGAGTGGTGAATATGCGATACCTTGGGCCATGGGGGGTTGAAGTCTTTATATATTGGCATCTTGATAGGTTTGGTGGGATTGATCCCGAATCTTTGCCGCGACGATCTGTTGTGAGGTAACGTTTCAGAGTGACTGGCTGTCATCATCAGGACTGGGGAGCAGGTGGGCTAATGCGACTATTATAGGATACGATCCCGCCAGGCAAGAGACAACCTCCGGGGTTGGCAGGCACGACGCCATCAGGCGAGAGACAATGGGTGCAATTATCAGAGTTGACAGATACTACACCGTCCGACAACGGACGTGGGTGCGGTTTTCGGGGTTGGCACTTGGCAGGTACGGTCGTGTCAGGCGGGAAGCTTCTCGCGAGACGCCGGGCTATAGACATGTTGTTATTTTAGTTTTGCCCTGTTATAGCATCGCATCGACATTGTATTTTTGATTTTGATTACAGGGCCGTAGGAATACGGTAATCGAATAAACGATTAGACATGGAAACGGTTCTTTGAGGTTTCAAGTGTGTTTTCTTCTTCGTTGTCTTCACTCTTCACTGTCCAGTTTTCGGGCGAAACCCCGACCTGTGTTGCGGAAACGAGAGGAGAGGGGGCGAATTCCTAGCGAACGAGCGAGCTAGAGAAGAGAGCGAAGAGATGTCTCAGTTCTGGAAGCCTGGTTCGGAGAGACCTCGACTTATTGATGACGAAGAAGGCGGGGTCATTTTCTACTCCTCGTCTCCATCCACCTCCTCTGGGTATTTCTCCTCGTTTCTCCCTTCTTCATGTTCGTCACTTTCCATTTTTATTCGTCCCTCTCTCTTCTTCTCTTCCAACGATATTTTGGGTTTGCAGTTTCGGATATGCCACCATCGAGAAGCAGCGACAGAGGCTTCCAGTTTACAAGTACCGTACTGCAATTCTCTATCTTGTTGAGACTCATGCGACCACTATCATTGTGGGGGAGACGGGTAGCGGTAAAACTACTCAGATACCTCAGGTTCACTACAATTTCCCCAGTCTCCACTCCTTTATAAATTTTCTATTTAATGCAATTTCTTTTGAACAGAAGAAGTTTAATCAAGATTGGTTCACGTGTTGTAATTTCATAAAATTTGAAACTTGTTATGCGTTGCTATGTTTTATTGGTTGGTATGCTTCCAGTTGTTTTGGCGGATTAGATGGATTGGGTTGAAGAACCTAATCCAACCCGCCCAATTGCTACACCTACTCCGGAGGTTTTGAAAAGTTTATAAATTAAAGAAAAATTGAAAAAAGTGAAAATAAATAATAAAAATTAATAAAATATAAAATTAAAAAATACATTAATTTTGCAAAAAAAAAAAATTCAGGCACATGTATAATATCATGTATTTATCATATTAAACAAAGAATAAGTGTGACATGTCGGAATTATTTTTATACACAAAAATACAAAAAAATTGTAGAAAAAATTGAACACATTTATAATTCTATATTTGCACTACTATTAAAAATATGAATAAGATTGTGGAACTTTCTTTTGACTAAAATCAATGTTTTAAAAACCTAGTTAGACGAAAACTGATGAGTCCAAGTGATTGTTCTTCCTTGTATATTCAGTATCTCAATGAAGCAGGCTGGGCTGAGGGTGGACGTATAATAGCTTGCACCCAACCRAGAAGATTGGCTGTCCAGGTGATTTCATCTTTCAATTTACTGCTTCGAAGTTGTCCTTTTTACTTTTAGTGCTGTGCTTGCTATTCTGCTTTTTATGGACGCAGAACCAGTTATTTGGTTTGTAGTGTTAAAGGCTATTAGTACATTGATTTTCTTCTACTCTTTTTTTTTTTAAAGTTTTTATTATTTGTACACATACACCACACTCGTGAGCTTATACAATGGTATACTTAAATTATCACTTTCTGATGTGAGCCTTGGGGCTTTCCTTTTGCGTATTTTCACTATGTTTTACATCAATATGATACGTTCCCTTTTATTAGTATAAAAGAGATCATTGTACATTAGCCAGAAATTTCCTGTTGGAATATTGGGAATGTTTAGTATCAATCAAAACAATCTTGGAAATGCTTAGTCAACAAGAATCAATTAGAAAAGTTTTTGAGAATCTTGAGGAAAGATAAAAGAAGATATTAGAGGAGGAACAGAAGAGAACATAAGAGAATAGGGGATTTTTTTGATTGGATAAGGTTGGTGGTTGGTTGCAACAATAGGGAGGGGGAAGGGAGGTGAGAAAGATAAGGGGAATTATGAATATGGAAGTGTTGGCAGAATACTCTAGGTGGGATGATGAAGGATTATGTAGCAGAGAGAGGGATGCAGATCAGTATTTAAGGGTATAGTTGGAGGATATGGTTGTACAAGGGTTTGGATGGACTTATTTTGTATTGGTTTTGTTATGGTCTCAATTAATAAAAATTCATGTTTGTAATAGAGGAAAATGGGGGGTATTTCATTGGGAGTAAGACAAAACCCAAGCCCCAAGGAGGATGATCCTACCTATGAGAGGTGGGTGCAAGATAATTACAAAGTTGTAGGCTGGTTGGTGAACTCTATGCAACCTCATATCAGTCAATACTACTTGTGGTTAGAGATTGCTAAAGAAAGTATGGGATATTGTTAAGGAGACTTACTCATAGAAATTAAATGTTGCTAGGGCCTCAAATTGAAGAATGATGTGAATAATTTGAGATAGGGGGAGAAGCCATTAGTTGTGTATTTCTCAATACTGAAGTCTATGTGGAAGGAAATTGATTTGATGGCAGCAGTTCAATGGGGATGCACAAAAGATGTTGAAACTTATGGGAAATTGGTGGAGAGGAATCGTGTTTTTGAGTTCCTTACCAGGCTCAATCTTGAGTATGATATAGTCAGACAAAATGTGTTAGCTAAGGATGAGGTGACCCTTTCTCAGGCTTTTGCTATGGTTAGTAGTGAGGAAAGCAGGAGATATGTTCAAATTGTGGAGGTCCTAGTGGAACACTATGCTAATGCTGGGACGAAGTAGAAGGTGAATACTGAAAGAAAGGAGGTTTTGTGTGAATACTGCAAGAAGCTGGAGCACACAAAAGACACATGTTGGAAGTTACATCCAGAGCTCTTATCTCCTAGATTCAAGAATAATAATAACAATAAAGAACGGGAATGGGAAAGGAGGCAAGGCTAATGTAGCCACCTCCTCTGATGGTGAGAAGGGGCAGTGTGATGAGAAGTTTGTAGGGCAGCAACTTGCAGCTGCCAGAGCTGAATATGAGAAATACGACTGCATCATCAGTCATCTGGAATCTACTTCAGCTTTTGCTCCACCTAGTAACGGCTCCACCTCTGCCTATGCTCACTCAGGTATTCCGTATTTGTGCTACTACAAATCATGCCTCTACCTCAGGCATTTGTAGGATCCCCTAGATAATAGATTTTTGTGCTTTTGACCATATGACTAGTGCTTCCACTTTGTTCACTACTTACCAACTTTTATCTGATTGTGACAAAATATCCCTCGCTGATGGTTTTCTTGTCCCCATCTTGGATTCTCAAGCAAGGGAGACATCAAAACTTCATACTCTCTTACTTTGACTTTTGTACTTCATGTGCTTAAACTTAATACTAACCTGTTTTCTTTTAGTCATTTGACTAAATCTTTGAACTGCAATGTAATCTTTTTTCCTTTTTATTGGAGTGGCCATGAGGTGAATGGGATATATCTGTTAGACATGCCTGAGCAGAGCTGAGTACTAAATTAGAAATCAACTTTTGGATCTACAGTTTCAGAGTCAGTTAGTCGTGTCATGTTATGTCACCATTGTCTGGTTATCTTTCTTTTTCTTCATTAAAACCTTTTTTTCCCTACATTATTTGAAGGAGTTAGTTTATTGAGTCTACAATGTGAGTCCTGTGAGTTTTCAAAACATTGTAGAAACTCTTATCCTACAAGCAATAAAAGATCCATTTTTCCTTGTAACATTGTTCACTTTGATGTGTGGGGGCCTTACCATTTACCTTGCATGGGAGGCTATAAATATTTTATTTTGTTCATTGATGACTTTTCTCGCTATACTTGGTTGTATCTTATGCGTTCACGTGTTGAAGTGCCCAAACTTGTTCAATAGTTTCATGAATTTGTACTTACCCAATTTGACACTCGGATCAAAATATTTTGATCAGATAATGTTAAGGAATACTTTGAGAAGTTTGGAGTTGTTCACCAAAGTTCTTGTGCTCACACTCCAAAACAAATGGGGTAGCGGAGAGAAAGAATCGACACATTGTGGAAGTTGCTAGAAGCATTCTTTTTGCTTCCCATGTCCCTATAAGGTTTTGGGGCGACGTAGCGATGATGACCACTTATCTTATTAATTGTATGCCATCCCAAGTTTTGGGTTTCAAGTCTCCCTTTAGTGTTTTCTTTCTAGACCTTTAAGTTTTCTCCATTCCTTTGCGAGTCTTTAGGTGCACTTGCTATGTTCATGTTCCTAGTGCCCAAAGACATAAGTTTGAACCTGAATCCAGAACGTGCATTTTTCTAGGGTATGCCTCCGCACAGAAGGGTTACTGTTGCTTTGGTCCCAGTAGTGGCACCCGTTTTATTTCAATGGATGTCACTTTTGCAAAGTCAACTCCTTTTTATAGCCATTCTTTTGAGGGGGAGCCCTCTATTGAGTTGTTTGTTTTTGCCCTACCTTTACCAGTTCCCGTTGACTCTTGTGCTAGTCCTCCTTCAGCTCCTTTGACTCGTTTAGTTGAATCTTCTAGCTCCTCCATTCTTGCACCTCCTCCACCTCCTCCTAGTCCTCCTATGTCACTATACCTCCTCTTCTAGTCATTGAAGAGGACAAGTCCTATAGAACCACAACCAGTACCTTCATGCCCAAACCTTGACTTACCCGTTGCTGTATGAAAAGGAAAAAAGGAAATGTATTGCTCACTGCATTTCCAAACACCTCTCTTACGTTTTGTTGTCCCCTTCCTACTATTCCTTCTTAGCCTCCATTTCAGCCCAACTTGTCCCTAAGAATGTGCCAGAAGCCTTATCTAAGCCAGAATGAAGGATGCTACGAGAACTGAGATATTCGTAAGAACAATGCTTGGGATATTGTAGGCTTTTTGTTGGGAAGTAATACCATTGACATGCTACAGAAGCGAAAGCCAAACACTTGTCTTTCTCATCACATGTGCTTTCTTTGCAAAAGTAATGGTGAAACTATTTCCCATATTTTCTTGTCTTTTCCTTTTGTGCTTGGTATTTGGGAGCATCTTTATTCTCTCTTTGGATGCAGGTGGTCTCCTCCTCAGGATGCGATAGGGCTCTTTGATCCAGCTTTCTTGGTATTTGGGAGCAGCTTTCTTGCATCTAAGGCTAGAGGAAGGCTAATGTGGAAAGCTGTGAAAGCTGCATTGATTTGGACTGTTTGGGAAAAATAAATAAAAGGATCTTCAATGATAAGAGTAGATCTGATTTGGAAGTCCTGGAAACAGTTAAAATAAAGGTTGCTCATTGGGTTAAGTCAATGGAGGATTTCAAATATTTCTCTATAAATGATATCCTAAGAAAGTGGAAGGAGGTGGATATGTCAGCTCAAACTAAGGATAGGAAAGTGATGGAATGGATACAACCAGAAGCCAATTGTGTAAAACTCAACTTTGATGGTAGCTACATAGGCAATCAGGCTATTGCTGGGATGGGAGGGGTCTTTCGAGACTCAGAAGGGAAGGTACTTGCTTTATATTCATGTCCTGTAACCAATGGTAATGCAATGAAAATAGAGTTGTACAGTCTTCTTTAGGGCCTTAATTTGCCAAGCAGTTTGGGTTTCTTTACTTGGAAGTGGAAGGGGATTCTCAAGTGGTTATCTCATGGACTAGGAATAGTACCCAAATCCCATGGGTTATCTCAGGCACACAGTTCGTGAAATTGAATAACTAGCAAGAGGGATGAATGCCACATTTAGATGGGTTAGAAGAACAACAAATAGGATGGCAGACACATTGGCTAAACAAGGGACTATAAGACAACAATTGTTTTGGGCGAAAATCTAAAGTTTCTTGTGGTGGTGACCTTTCCACCTTGATGTAATTCCTTCTTTTTGATGCTTAATAAATTTTTTCTTCATTGATAAAAAAATACTTGGGATATTGTAGACTTCCCTACTGGGAAGGAGCCTATTGGTTGTAAATGGGTTTACACTATAAAGTACCATGCTAATGGATAGATTGAGAGGTATAAAGTTTGCCTTGTTGACAAGGGGTACTCAGGTTTATGGGATTGATTATATGGAGAACTTTTCTTTGGTGGCTAAGATGACATCTGTGAGAGTTCTCTTGTCTTTGGCAATAAGTTATGATTGGCCTCTTTATCAGTTTGATGTAAAAAATGCCTTCTTGAATGGTAACTTGACAGAAGAGGTGTATATGTCCCTTCCTCCTGGAATGTATGGTAAGGAGATGCAAGGTAAGGTGTGTAAGATGAAGAAGTCTCTTTATGGACTTAAACAATCTCCTTGTTCTTGGTTTGATAGATTCCAGACTGCATTTATTTAGTTTGGTTATACACAGATACAGTCTGACCACACTCTATTTGTGAAGAGGAAAGCTTCTCATGTTACCTTCCTTATTGTTTATGTGGACGACATTGTTGTCACAGGTAGTAATGCATAGGAAATTATGATCTCAAATACTTCCTTAACTCTGAATTTGATATTTAAGTTTGGGGGGAGTTGCAGTATTTCTTGGGCATTGAGGTTGGTTGGTCTAAAGAGGGGCTTTTCATCTTCCAAAGAAAGTATGTGTTGGACCTTCTCACTAAGACTGGGAAACTTGGTGCCAAGCCTACTTACACTTCTATTGTTGTGAATCATAAACTCTTGGCTGATGATGTGGAGCTCTTGACCGACAAAGAAGTGTTTTAGAGATTGTTGGGGAAGCTTCTATACTTGTGTATGACACGACCAAATATTTCCTATGGTGTGAGTGTGATTAGCCAGTTTATTCATGCTCCTAGAGACGCACATATGGCTGTTGCAAAAAGGGTGTTGTGTTATCTTAAGGGGAATCCTGGGAAGGGTATACTCTTTTCTATGCATGGATATATGAAGCTAGAAGCATATAGATATGCTGACTGGGCATGCAGTATAGATGACAAAAGATCCACATTGGGTTATTGTGTCATGGTGGCTAGAAATATTGTCTCTTGGAGGAGTAAGAAGTAGTTTGTTGTTGCTTGATCTTTAGTTGAGGCAGAGTATAGGGCTATGGTCCATGGGGTGTCGGAGTTGTTATGGCTCAAATCTCTCCTAGAAGAGATGGGAATTGATTATGATAGGCCATTGATGTTGTGTTATGATAATCAAGCTGCCATCAACATTGCTCATAACCTGGTTCAACATGACAGAACCAAACACATTGAGGTAGACAAACATTTCATACGAGAAAGAGTGGTCTTAGGAGAAGTGTGCCTCCTTTTCATCTCTTCAAAGGAACAACTAGTAGACATCTTGACGAAGGGAGTACCTAAGGCGAAGCTCCAACACTATATAGGCAAACTGGGCATGATTGACATCTATGCTCAACTTGAGGGGGAGTGTAGAGAGGTTGGGCCGAATGGGCCTTAGTTTGGTTTAGTTATTTATTGTTTTTATTTCTGCTGTAATGGGCTGTATCTATAGGCCCTTAACACATTTATTTTTTATGTTTTTTTGGGTCAGCCGCCTAAACAGGGGCACCCATGTAATTTTTCTTTTATTTATTCCAGCACATGTATAAAGAGGTTAAAGGGAGTGAGAGAGGGACAATTTCTACACTCATCTCTTCCTCTTTTCTTCCAACTTTTTCTTTTTTCTCCTGAACAACTCCTTCCCTCTTTTCTTCCAACTTCCTGCATGGGCTCGGGCTGTGGGTGGTGCCGGGCAGACCCCTTGAAGTATCCCAGGGGAGGAAGCATGGCCCGCCAAGGCCCGCCAAAAGCATGGGTCGCCCACAGGTTGTGCCGTGCCAGCACAACATGGCCTGGTTTACACCTTTACCTCATTGCTTCCATCAAAATTTAACTTTATAAAACCACGGACTAGTGGTGACTGCATAGGACAAGCAGATGAACGAGCAGGAGCAGAGTTTGCCACCTTCATCCAGCTGTTCAGCAACATACCCATGGAAAAGACTTCATTGATTAAAAGAAAAAATTGGTTACAAGAAGAAGTTGTGAAAGAAACCCAGCTTTATTATGCTGATCCAAACCAATGTTGCAGCTGAGCCCAAAACAGATGTGTTCTTTGTATCCCTTGCTTAGCTAATCCATCTGCCAAGCTGTTGGCAGTTTTCCTCACCCATCTCCAAAGGCACCACTGTTATTCTATTTGAGGTAGCATGCATCTTTGTGGTTTTAATTATTTAATTGGGTATATAATGTTTCGTTTATTAATGGAAAAAATACAGTGTCAATATGCTTGTTATTTTCGAATTTGGTTGTTCATTAAGTAAAATCAGTTAGTACCACTGTTCTAATTGTTATTTGGTTAAGTGAGAGCAAGATTTTGTGACTTTGGTTTATGTTTCATGCACAGGCAGTTGCCTCAAGAGTAGCAGAGGAGATGGGTGTCAAACTTGGCGAAGAGGTTGGGTACACAATTCGTTTCGAAGATCTTACAAATCCAGTAGGATGTCTTTCTTTATCATTTTTCCCTTTGACATCTAAGCATTCTTTTCAGGATTACTGTTATAAGGCGGCTGTATGACTGTTCACTGTTGTCATTATTCTATAGATTACTTTGCCTTTTTCAATGTCTCACTTTTTTTGGGTCCTTTCTATTCATTAAATTGCTAATGAACTAATGATGTGTCATAAATACCAAATTGTTTTCTGCTTGGCCACATAGGACACAACCAAGGTCAAATTTCTTACAGATGGAGTACTCCTTAGGGAAATGATGGATGACCCTCTTTTGACCAAATACAGGTATATTTACTAGAGGCCCTCCACATGATTTTTGAATTTTGTTCCATGTTTTCTTCTTTCTTTTCTCATTGTGTCTCAAGATATAAACATGGGCATTCTTATTGTTCGCTAGTCAATATGATGTTTTCTTATTCATGTTGATTGATATACTGTGAAACATCAAAACATCAGAAAGAAAGACGAAAATTATGACCAAGTTGTTAGTAATATTAGCAAATAGTGATCAATACAAGTAACATATTGGCAATTTACATCATGGACCAGTATTTTAAAAGCACAAGATGCAAGAATAGTGCAAGGGGCTTTTTGCACCCAAGGCACAAGGAGTAAGGTGAGCCGGCGAAGCACGTTCCTCTTTGAATAAAGTTGCAAAAATTTTTAAAAATTCAAATAAGTATTAATTAAAAAGAAAATCAAACTTAAAATTTAAAAGAAACTAAATGTTTTATAAAGCCTATTGGGCCAAATTAAAATACATCAACACAACATATGAAACATCTTCAAAGTGAAAATGTAGAAAGAAAATCAAACATAACATATAAAATGTATTCAAGCACATAGAACTTTTAAGATTTTTATTTCTTTCCCATTTGCATTACTTAAAGTAGTTAATGTGATGTTAAACATCATGGATTCCTAATTCTATGAGCTGCCTCTGTACTAAGCCCCTTGAGACAAGCCCAAACAACATTATTAGTGCTCCAAGAATCCCTCCTTTTGCTAATGTTGTGCTCAAAGAATCCCCCTTTTGAGATAGGACTCTGGCATTGACTTGTTTGGGCTTTGCTTCAAGGGGCTTGGCCAGGGGTACGAGGGTGGAGCCCTGCCCTCAGCCTGGCCACTTATCTTTAAAAGGTGCACAACTTTTCAAAGTGGCTGTGCATGGGCCTAGATGAGGTGCACACCTTGAAAGGCACTTTGCTTGTGCACCCAGCTGCACCTGTGGCATGCCTCTTTAATCCCTGCATGGACCTAGCGGTCCTAGCCAAGTTGTTAGTAAAATTATGGCCAAGAGGGCACCCAGCAAAATTTTGAGAAAACAAAAACAAAGCAAAAAATACAGATCATATTTCATCTTGCTGGATACCTAAAGTGGTCCAGAAGATAGTGGATTAGCTTTCTGTTAATTATCAAGGAAAAAAAGAAAAAAAGATAGTGGATTAGCTGAATTGGAGATTGAGGGATTGTGGGCCATATGCACTTTACTTTATGGATGGTGTGGAGCAAAATGGTTGATCCCACAGCCAGTAAAACAGCTATCGAATTCAGCTAATCCTTTTTCAGTCCAAAAGGACCCAAAAGCATCCTGCCGCAAACCATTGGACTCTGGATTTGGAAGAACCCCATATAAAACCATATTTCTAATTGAAGCACATAACTTTTCATGATCCTGTGATATGTATTATGGCTAAAATCCTTTCATGCTCTTGTTGTGTAAGATTGCATCATAAAGTTTTGTCAATTAAAAAACTATGTACATTTGACTGTCTAATTCCTCTTTAAAGGGTCAAGTGAAAAGCTGTTGCCCAAATGTTCAGTAATATGTGTTGAGGAGTGTTTCTTATGTTTTTATTTTATGTTTATTGGGCTTTATTTTTGAGGAGTCTTTTATCCTTAATTTTTTATGGTTGAATATAATGAAATAAGGAGGGCTCTAATCATCCTCCTATTGAGTCTTCTTCAACTTTTCTTCTTCTTTTCTCTTCTTATTCCTGAACATCTCTACACTATTTCATCCACTAAAGCTACTAATTTTTTTTTTTAATTTTTTCTTGTCTCTGATTCTTATCTTTGTATCAGAGCAGGAATCTTCACTTTTCTCCCTAAAAGAAACCATACACCATTAGGATCAGCAGGGTGTATGGGGTTTTGAGAGGCTAATCATCTCTCTCTCTCTCTCTCTCTCTGGTTGGTAGAGGTTCTTGGAGAGTTTTGGTGGCTGTTTCAAGGCCTAGAAGTTGCTGTTATAGTTGCTTCCCAAGATCAGGATCAACGGAAGAGATAGGACCTACTTTGAGTTACACATCAAAGGAGTTCATGCTCTTGATGTGGACAATTGCATCATAAAGTTTTGTCAATTATAAAATTATGTACATTGACCAACCAATTCTTCTTTAAATTGTCAACTGAAAAGCTGTTGTCCAAGTGTTTTGTAATATGGGAGGGTTCAAATTATGAAAAGATGCTTTGGTTGATAAAAACAAAGCAAGGCTTTTGCTTATTGGTGTGTGGAGCATTAAAATCTAGAATGAATGTCCAGAAAAGACAAATTTAATTAGTATTGTTGCCTCTTGGCCSTCTTCCATGGATTTTACTGTTCATTCAAGTATAGGAAAGAATTTACAATTACATCATTACTTCCATATGATTTATCCTCTTATCGTATAGGTTATCTTTCCGGCAATACTGAAATTTTGAATATTGATTGATGGAATCCTTGTATAACTGAGTTGGATGTTCATACCTATCAATAAAGAATTAAAGGAAAACAAAAGAAGGAACAGATGACTGATAAAATTCAACTGCAGTGAAATTGGGTTTATTACTAGTTTTACCCTAAGAAACGATGTCCTTAGAAAGCCATCCAGTGCATGAGTTCAGAAAAAAAAAAGAATAAAAGAGACATTGAAAACTGTATGATTATATTCAATGTTCCCTTTATTTGATCTTTAGTTTGGCTTTGGACAGCCTACTTGTGTGGTGGCTTTGTGCGGTAAAGAATGAGGATTACCCTACTACTATAACTACCTTTCAATGCACTTTGTGGAAATGTATATTTTTCTTCATGAAGTACTTACTATCACTCATTAAATATGTTATGTCATTACTCACCTAAACAGTTTCTGTCTTTATCCTCTCAATTTAATGTTCTCAAGATACTCCGGTTCTTTTACTTGAGCATTTATAGTCCTTTAGAAGTTTTGAGAGTTTGGTAGAAATAACATTATTTCTCTTTATCATATTTTCTGTCAATGTGCCCCTTTCTCAGTGTCATAATGGTAGATGAGGCTCATGAAAGGTCACTTTCAACTGATATCCTATTGGGCCTGTTGAAAAAGGTAAATCCACTACAACTAATTGGTGATTTTTGTCTGTATTGCTGAATCTGTACATTTGCAAGCTAAACTGGTTATCATGGATTCAGATCCAACGACGTAGACCTGAGTTGCGTCTGATAATATCATCTGCTACAATTGAAGCCAAGTCAATGTCTTCTTTTTTCCAGACCAGGTTTTGTCCTCATCATTTAATTGTATGTTGATAAGATGGGTTGCCTTGGTTTAGTTAGTTGGTGCTGCTTTTCTATTTCTTCTTAGATTGGGTGTTTCAATTTGTTCATTTTCTCAGTATGTGTGTGTGTGTGTGTATATATAGTAAAATGCAATTTCATTAAAAGCTAAAAAGGGGTTACTCACATATGAAGAGTTTTAACCATCTCAATTTCTTATACAAGAAGGTTTTAAGGTTGCCACTACCTTTATGAAGCTTGCAACCATCGAATATTCAATGACCATGGTTCAGAATCTCCAGAACTTCCATTTTTAGTGAGAGAATGAAGAGGAGGAGCCCGTTGAAGAGCTTTTTGAACAACAGTTTGCAAAGACATGGCCAACCATTTGCAACCTACCCTTCAACCTCAATATGTTCAATGCCACTGCCTTTAAAACTCCCAACTAAGCATAGGCATCCCTCTATGGAATTCCATTATCACTCACAATAACTTGTTATCTTGTTCTTGGCCAACTACCTGTATCCAGGTCCTACCCTATTTGTTGACTCCCAAATTTACAGCATCTATTGCTTGGGTAGGATGAATTTTGTTTCGAAAGTCTGAAAATTTTGCATAAGGTGGTGAACTGGGTTAAAGGTCTTGAGATCTTTGCAGTTTACACCTTTTTCAAAAGATGACAGAATTAGAGGATGACAGTATGTGGCAAACTCATCCTCATCTACAGTGAAGATCTCAAGAATTTTGTACCCACCTCTGAATCAATTCAAGCTCAATTTTGATGGGTGTAGCCTTGGAAATCCAGGCTTATGTGGCATAGGGGGAGTCTTCAGGGACAACTTAAGCTCTATAATTGCTCTCTACTCAGGCCCAATAATGGTAGGCGACTCTACAAGGACTGAACTGTATGCTATTCTCCAAGGTTTAAACTTGGGCGGAAGGCTTAAGGGGACTCCAAAACAGTACTAAGGTGGCTAAAGGATGATAGTCTTGGTACATGGTGTTGGACAGTGTATACCCTCAGATCCAACAACTTTCGCATGGCATCATTGACACACTTTGAGGGAAGCGGAGCAGTTGGTTAGGGATTTATTGGTGACTTGGAATTGGACAAATAGATAAGTCAATAGTTAGGCAGACCCACTAGCATGATGGGGCTAGTGTAACTGAATTGGGGTGGTAAGCTGGTAATATTGTATGTTAATAGTAGAAAAGGGGTTAGGCAGTAAGGCTAGCCCAACTCCAGATGCCTCATTCCATTGTAAAGAGAGTGGAGTTGTATTCCTTTTGCAGTGTGCTGGACTTATAGAAGGAAAGGAATAGAAGACTGTTCGAGGACAAAACAAATGGTATTGAAGTTTTGGTGGCTTCGGTTGGAAAGTTTGCTTTAAGATGGGTTCTGGTCCTCCCAGAATTTGAGCAAGTAAATGGTTCAGATTTGATGGAAAATTTTTGGGATGTTCTTGAGATTCCAGCTTGTAATGTAAACTTGTTTCTTAGTGACTAACTAGTTGGTGTTACCTTGACATCCAATCAGCTTGTATCTTTCCTTTTCATTTTAATAAAATTTTTCTTTACTCTTCAAAAGAAATCTCTATCAATAATATATTTTTTTTGACAAGTAATGAAGATTTTATTAAACATGTGTCAAAGAGGAACTAGATATGACTGCTCACATTACAAAATAGACAGTAAATTTAAATTACAACTGAGCATAGTATAAATGGTCCCTATTCACATGTTTTGCTAATGAATCAGCCATCCGATCTGCTGATCTTCTTACCCATTGAATTCTCATAGTCATATACCATTTGAACATCTTAATCTCATCCTTTAAGTCCAGATTAGTGTTTTAAAAGGTGTGAGAGGTGTACTACTGGAGGCAAGGCACCTCCAAAATGCCTTGAGGTGTATTCCAGAGGTGTTGGTATCTCTGAGGTGTACGCCTCATGCACCTCACACACACCTCATACAAAAAGACAGAAAAAAAGACAAAAAGAAAGAAAAAAGAAAAGAAAGGGAAGGGAAAGAAAAAGAAAGAATGAAATAAAGAGAAAAGAAAGAAAAGGAAAGGGAAGGGAAGGGAAGGGAAATGAGATCCTCCTTTCAGCCAGTGTTATGCATCTTCATTCTTCTTAATATAAAAGATTTTTATTAAAAATAAAGAAAAATGAGATTCTCCTTCCTCTTGTCCCTCCTCATCCCCCTCCTCTTAAGGAGGTGTACACCCACTTGTGTTTAGGAGGCTTATGCATCTTAATTCTGAACTACACCTCAGCCTTATGTTTATTTTCATAATACATATTTTATAATATATTATGTAAATATATTTGTATGTAAAATATATTTTTATATTCTATATATAATATAAAAATGCACTATATATTTATAAAAAGTATATCATATATATATATATTTATAAAATATAAACATATACTCATTTTCAAGTTATCGAGCGAAATTCAAGCTTGTCGATATTTAATTGAACCAAGCTCGAATCGGAAAATAGAGTTTGAATTGGACTCGAACCTTGTAATATTTTAGTCAAACCAAGCCATGATATGTCAAAGTTTGGCTCGGTTCAGCTTGATTGCACCCTTACCTTCTTTATTTCTAAATATTCCCCCACTCTAGAGGGGCCTGAGTTATCTTGACCACTCCCATCAAAATTCAGCCTGATACTCTTTAGGAGGTGGCTCCCAAACCAAGATTGCCAAATTCTTAGTAGACGAGCATTTAGCCACTTAAAAGATGTCCATTGTTCTAAGTCGGTGAATCATTCCAATCATCATACATTCCTTAACCACTTCCTTGCTTCTCTCCTTCTCTAAGAAGATTTTTGCATCTCTTTCTTTCTAAACAGTCCAAATCAATAATGCCCTTATACATCTTTACATTATTCTTCCACTTTTCATGGGCCAAACAAATGTAGTTAGATCAAGCAACCTATTAATCTCCATTAGGATTTTTGGGGTGCCAAAATCTTGGTATGGATCAGCATTTTTTAGGTTCCGCTTCACACTTGGTTTGAAGAGAGCCTCATTAACAGTCCTGGGTATAGACACAAAGTCAAGGGAAGAAAGGAAAGCCCAGTAGGAGGGAGATAACCCACTGTACGAAAGATGATGTGAAGTACAACGGGCTGTGCACTTTCTCTTCCCCTTTTGTAGTGCACTAGGAAGGTCTAGGTCATTTACAATGGTCTTAGGAACATGGGGTATCAACAAGAATTGAAAAATTAGAGGGAGCAAAAGGCATACTTGGGCTTGTGTCAGTCGATTTGGAATCTTAGATGAGCCAATTGGAAGTGGCATGGGTTCCTCTACTATGGAATGAACCTCCATGGTGCTGCTGTAGACGCTATCATGTAAAAAATTGAGAAGTAGGATTTAATAAAGTAGTTAAAGTAGGTGGAGTAGGTGGGTCAGACATTGGAGTAGGCAAAGGAGCTAGAACGGGAAGTGGTGTGGGTTGCTCACTTCCTCCCTTAAAGCACTCCCCCTGGGAAAGACTCCCCRAAAATAAAGGTGTGGACTCAAAGAAAATTACATCCATGGTGACACACCGACTCCTTGAGACTGGATCATAACAACAATACCCCTTCTGATTTCCTGCATATCCAAGGAATACACACTTCTTTGCCTTAGGGTCCAGTTTTGAGCGGTGAGGACCAAGGATATGGACAAAACATACAAATCCAAATACCTTCAAAGGAACATGAAACATCTCCCCCTCAGGAAAAATAAGGCTGAAAGGAGTAGCATATCCAAGAACACGAGAGGGTACCCAATTAATCAAGAAGACTGTTGTGAGAACTGCACCACCCCAAAAACAAATTGGAATTGTAGAGCTCACCATAATACTTCTTGCCACTTCCACAATGTGTCTGTTTGTCCTTTTTGTTACACCATTTTGTTGTGGAGTATATGTACAACTGCTCTGATGGACTACTCCATGCTCTAATAAATAGGATGCTAGGTTTTTTTTTCAAAGTATTCCCTAGCATTATTTGATCTGAACACCTTGATCCATACTCCAAACTGTGTCAACAACATTTGATGGAACTATTGTACCAAGGCAGGTACTTCTTCATGAGTTCTCATCAAATATACCCATGAATATTGTAAATAATCATCCAAAAATAGAAGAAAATAACAATAGTCATAGAAGGGGGTGAAAGTGGCGATGAACGGCATTAGAGGAAGGAAATACAACTGGAGAGGAAGAGGTTTCTCCTCAAAGAGACTAAGGTTAGAGGAAAAACGAATATGAAAATCAAAGAAGACAGGACAACAAACATGCAACCTTTTCCTCCTTGTCCTCTCTTCTACTCTTCTCCTTTCTCTCTTTTTCTCTTTCTGTCTTCTCTCTTTTCCTTGACTGTTATCAGTCAAACATGCAAGCCGGACTCTAATATGGTATCAGAGCTGAACTGAGCAAATCGGATCTGCCCAGAATTCTGTTCTTTGCACACCCAGTCTAGGGTTTTCTCTTGCTTTCTTCGCCATCAGTTGGAGATAAGGGAAAGGGCTGAAAAGGAGTGATCACCCTCTTCCCTTGGAGGTTTCTATGCCTCCAGTTGTGGTGTTCGTGGTCGGTTGCTGCAGTTTCTAAGAAGCCCTCCCCTAATCGATGAAGAGAAGAGGGTTGATTCGTGTGGTGCAGTGGGTGCTTTGTGYGGTCTGATTTTTGGGTGATCAGGTAAGAGGTTCTATGCATTTTCTTGGTGTGAATTAAATGATAAGTTTGTTTCAGACAGTATGGTGGGATTTCAGATTGTAGTGTTCTAGGGTTTGTGCAGTTTTCAGTGTGATTTGAAGGGGAAGTGTTCCTCAAACAGTGTGGTGAAGTTTCAGGTAGTCATGAGGTATGGTGGGATTTCAGATAGTAAGTGCTGAAATCAGTGTGTAGTGTGGTCTAGTGTGCCGAATTCAGCAATACCAGAATTCAGCAATGGGAGACAGTAGTGATAGTAAGACTAGTGTGGTGGTTCCTAATGACT